ATTGTCGTCTATGGTGCCGCTCCGCAAACGCCCGGCCGGCGTTTTGCGGTGCGGTTGCGACGCGTTTGCGGGGCGTTTGCAGAGCGGTAACACCACTAAACTGTATTATAGGCATTTGTGGGGCGTTATTAACGCTCGGTAAACGCCTAGCAACCGCCACTAAACCGCGCATGCGGCGTTTGCGGAGCGTTTGCCGAGTGTTAAAAAACGCTCCGCAAACGCCGGACCAACGCTTGCCAAACGCTATAGGGGCGTTTGGCAAGCGTTGGTAAAACAGCCAAGTGTGAACGAGCCCTTAGGGTTTGTTCATGCCGAAACGTGTTTTAAGAAACCTGTGTTCCATGCTCATTTCTTAATGTGGCAATTCAGTTTGACTTGTCAGCTCACTTGAGCAAAATGTGTGGTATTGCTGTGCAGAAAAGGCAGTAAATATACTTTTATTGTATACCAGGGCTCTTGTGTACCCAGGATTTACACCTAGTAATTTTGGACACTCATTGTCTATTGCAATGTTACGCTAAATTATGTAACCATCTGTCACAGCTCGTTTCACAGATTCCTTAAAATATCTTCATTTTAAAATAACTGGAACACTTTTGCTCGTCAGTAATGTAAAATAGATTTACGTTTTTTTTTTTTATTATTTTGCTCATAGTACTTAATTAGATTTCATATTGTTTTAGGATGCATACCCAATCAGAGTTTATAATTTTCTGTACCCTTAAGTACCATTAAAACTTGCATTTTCCAGATCTTTATTAGCAGACATAATTGTATTATAATGCCTATTGCTAGGCTCTGCAGAGGTTTAGGAATGCTTTGCTCATGATGTGGAAGGAGTTCCTGAGCAGATGTTTTTATTATAGGCGTATTTAATAAAGTGCAGGAACACAGTGTACTTCAAACGGTGCTTGGGATGGCCATGGAGTACAAGCAAGTCTGCCTGGTGCTGTGCCTCTTCTGCTTTGTCCAAATCACCTTTCAACAGAAGAAGCAGAGGCATACAACTAAGCAAGGTAAGGCTTTTTTGTAAATAAGCTCTCTATTCTTGTCCTTTTTCAAGAGCACAAAAATGGCGTTTATATACAATTGGTAAGAAAAAAATATTAATTTGATTATTGCACTCCATTTTAATGTACTTCTGATGTATATTAGTGATAGGTTTTCAAATTGTTTTCAAAAGGTAAATATATTTAACATAGTAAATACTATAAAAGGGCTATAATTGTGTTACAGTATACTAAAAAAAAAAATTAAATAATTTCCCCTTCTTTTAGATTGTAAGCTCCTCAAGCAGGGCCCTCCTATTCCTTCCGTACTGAACTGTATTGTAATTGTGCTGTCTCTGTTTATATTGTAAAGCTCTGCACAGACTGTTGGCGCTATAGAAATCCTGTATAATAATAATAATTATATAAATATATACATCTAGAGAGAGGGAGAGAGAGAATATATATATATATATATATATAAAAATTAATATTTGGTGTGACCGCCCTTTGTCATCAAAACAGCATCAGTTCTTCTAGGTACACTTGCACACAGTTTTTGAAGAAACTCGGCAGGTAGGTTGTTCCAAACATCTTGGAGAATTAACCATGGATCTTCTATGTATGTGGGCTGCTTTCAATTCTTCTGTCTTTTCATGTAATCCTAGACATACTCAATGGTGTTGAGATCAGTGCTCTGTGGGGTCCAAACCATCACTTCCTTGGTCCTCTTTTCACTGAAGATGGTTCCTAACAACATTGGTTGCATATATGGGGTCATTGTCCTGCTTTTGGGGTCGATCACATACCTCCCTGGTGGTATGCCATGATGGATAAGTATCTGCCTGTATTTTTCAGCATTGAGAACACCATTGATCCTGACCAAATCTTCAACAGCATTTGCAGAAATGCAGCCCCAAACTTGCAAGGATCCTCCTCCATGCTTCACTGTTGCCTGCAGACACTCATTAATGTACCGCTCTTCAGCCTTTCACAAACAAACTACCTCCTGCTACAGCCAAATATTACAAATTTTGACTCATCAATCCAGAGCCCCTGCCATTTTTCTGCACCCCAGTTCTTATATTTCATGCATAGTTGAGTTGCTTAGCCTTGTTTCCATGTCCTGTGCACAAAAACATAGGAACTAGGGTGAAGAAAAATGGCAGCAGGTGCTCTGGACTAATGAGATAAAATTTTAAAATATTTGGCAGTAGCAGGAGGCAGTTTCTGAAGGTTTGGAGAGTGGTACAATAATGAGTGTCTGCAGACAACCGTGAAGCTTGCAAGTTTGGGGTTGCATTTTTGCAAATGGAGTTAGAGATTTTTTCAGAATCAATGGTGTCCTCATTGCTAAAAGATACAAGCAGATACTTATCCATTATGCCATACCACCAGGAAGGCGTGTGATTGGCCCCAAATTTATTCTGCAGCAGGACAATGACCCCTTACATGCAGCCAATGTCATTAAGAACTATCTTCAGCGTAAAGAAGAACAAGGAGTCCTGGAAGTGATGGACTGGCCCCGCAGAGCCCTGATCTCAATATCATTGGGTCTGTCCGGGATAGCATTAAAAGACAGAAGGATTTGAGACAGCCTACACCCACAGAAGATCTGCGTTTAGTTCTGCAGGATGAGTGAACAACCTACTTGCCGAGTTGATTCAAAAAAGTGTATCAAGAAGAATTGATGCTATTTTGAAGGCAACTAGTGATCACACCAAATATTGATTTAATTTGGATTTCCCTACTGTTCATATACTTTTACTTCTGTTTCCGAAAACATTCTTAATTTACACCATTTTTTCACAACTGCCCAAAACGTTTGCAAAGTACAGTGTGTGTGTGTATATATATATGTATGTACAATATATATATAAAAACCCTAACTATATGTAGAGAAATATCAGCAGCTTCTATTGCTAGCTCCTCATCCTGGTCTTACTACCTAATGTATCATTGGTCAAAAACAAGAATGTAGCCAGGCAGCAAGTATGAAAAGTTTGTATACCTACCCTGCATGCAAGTTCCAGGTCAGTCAATTGCTATGAAGTAAAGCAGGGAAGATAGTAACAGCTCTGCAGCTTACTCCCTTGTGTATGAACAAGTCAGCAGTGTCCCCTCCAATATTTCTGTCATCTCAACTTCCCATTCGTGCTATTAACTGCATTTTATTAAACATTCCAATGACCGGTGTTTATCACTGAGTGCTGCAAGTTGTAATATTTGGCAATTAAAATTATTCCTTCTCTTTCCAGCCAAAAGAAATTCTGACTATAGCAAGCTGCTGATCTCTATGGCAGTTTAGGCGGTCCTAGCCATTCAGTTCTTTTGCATTAAAGAAGCGAATTCTAGGGCTTATAAAGCTCTTTTTAAATGTGGTTTCAGTAATTGTCCTCTCAATATTCAGCAGGGTGTTGTAATAGTAGAGCCAAGGGAGGGCTCACTGATGCTGAAGATGTTTGATTCTAGTTCAGCATTAATTTGGATAGACAGCAAAGGCTGTTCGAAACAGGCTGAAAATTATCTTGAAAGATAAATACCATAATTATGAAAATAAGTGTGCTTGAGTGAAAACCCACTAATCAGAGTTTCACTGTCTCAATAACCACCCATCTGCCAATGCAAGCATTTATCTTTGATCAGAAAAACTGTGGAGTTGAAGGGGTGGTGTAGTATCTGTCTCTTGGCTTGATTTTATTTGATGATGTGTTATGTTTTGCTATTTATGTTCTTTCACTGACTAAACAATATGACTTTGTTAGCATCATTGTATCTGCTGCCTGTACACTAACTGTATGTCAATATCCAGATTCTAATACCTATATTCTAACTACTAATGAGCATGTGGATTAAATTTAAACTCAAAACATGACTTTTAGATATGACCTTAATAAATTGTCCAGTGCATGAAAGATCAAACATTTTATCTAAAGGTTATATATGACCTCTTTGAGCTTCATTACATATTTCAGATTGCCAGTGGTTGGGATAAACAGATCCTAACTGTTAATATGTGCCTGCTATATATATTGTAACATAGGCCATTTATATAAGCTGTCTATATAAAATATATTTTTTTTATGTATAATGTTTATATGTTCATTTATTGGAAATGTGAGCGGAGGTATGTGTTTTGGATTATCTGCTTTCACTTTTATGTCTCATAATGGGATCCACATAGATGGACATAAATTTTACTGACATTCTTGGAACACCTTGGTGCTTACCAGACATCTCACTATAATGGAATGTAAAGAAACAAAAACAAAAAGATGAAAAGGTCCCCCTAATGATGTGTTATATTCACTTATTGTACTGGATTTATAAGAAACGTTGCATAACCAGCTATCAATGCTTCAGATATTTTGCATTATTTTTTTTTTTTTTCAAATATTTGCATATATTTTATTCATATAGTTTATATTTTTTTCTTTTCTTTTTTTTTACAGGAACCATAGCAAATAGTGATTTTTCTTATTTTTAGTCAATTTATACATTTATTTTTATACCCCGCCTTCCCCAGTTAAGTTAGCAATTTCAATTTGAAATGGGTCGCTTTCATTGCAGTCTAGGACTCTGAAATCTTAATTAGTCAGCAAATCAGATTACATAACGTAATTTTTTAAATCTTTTTCAGTTCTGGTCATGCATCCACTCATCCTATTTTTAAGACTCAGCACCTCTTGACAAACTGGGAATTATTTATTGGCACTTGTGATTCCAAGTACCAATGAACAGTTCCCAGACTGTCAGGTTGTTGTTTAACCACTTCAGGTCTCGTACCTGCATACCTCCTATGGAACAGAGCAATTTTGTTTTTACGTTTCTGCTATAAATTTCACCATATGACTACACTCCCAGTTGCATCATAGTAACCATAAACAAAAATTAGAACAGAGTAGCGGGGGACTTCGATTATTTTAAAAGCCAATCATTTTTCTTACAAACAATCGAAAAAAAGATCATAGAAGTTCATAAAATTTGGAAAAGGCAAACTTGCTAAAATGTAAAATGCACATAGGTATAAACAGGGGCGGACTGACCATTTGGAAACTCGGGCACTGCCCGAGGGCCCGGGGTCAGTAGGGGGCTCCATGAGATGTCCCTGGTACCTTTTTCATAGGCTTTTTTGATTTTGGGCAAGGACACAGGGGCCCCATGATCCCCTATTGCCCGGGGGCCCCATGAGTTGTCAGTCCGCCCCTAGGGTATAACAATAGACAACTACAATACGTTGAATGGTCTACATACTTCAGGAAATCTCTGCTTTCACAGGACTTTATATATCTTATACAGCTCCTAACCCAGGGGTGAACAAAAAACGCCTGTGGGGGAACCTCTACAGAGTGCCCAAAGACTGGAGTGAACCCAAACCAAAAGGTTGAAGGCTTGCGAAAAGGGTTGTCCCTTAAAGGTTGTCACTGAAGCAGGTCGCATGCGGTATTTAGGTGATCTGACACGTCTTTCCCAAATATCGCATGCGATGCTGAAAATGTCAATTCACTATCACCATTATGCGGTATTTCCCTCAAAAAGGAAAACCACTTGGTAAATACTGCATAAAATGGTGTTTCAGTAAATAAATGCATGAGTTAAATAAGTAGTGGTCCAGGCATGCAGTATTTAAGGAATGTAAAAATATAATAACCAATTCTGAGTAGTCTCTACCGTTTTCAATTCTTACAAAAGTAATACATAGAAACCTAAATATGGAAAACACAGAATCATAGGAGTTGATTTACTGAAAGTAGAACTATAGCCAACACTTTCTTTTTAGTTTTGGATAAAGTGGAGATGGATTAGAACACCTGTTTATTGCTGTGTGAGTCTCCATTAGGGAGATTCCCCCTCTCTATTTGTCCCTATTACCATTATCATTGAAAGTGAAAGTAAAAGAAAATCCCAAATTTTGTGTTTGTCCCTAGAATAGTAATGGAGGGGAAATTTTCCAATGGGTTCTGGTGACCTGGGTGGCCACAAGGGATTCCTTTAATTTGTTGGGATTTCCTCTCACTTCCTGTTTTGGCTATGGGACAGGAAGTGAAGGTATGTCTCCTCAATAGGACACAAACGGCAAAAAACTGACAGGGCTTATAGCTCTTCCCTACCCTATCCAAAATTAAAACAATTATTTTTGCCTTTAATTCTACTCTGCTTTGCCCTGGTGACATCCCTGTGCCCTGACCTGGTGAACCCTCTGTACCCTGCCCTGGTGACCCCCCCCTGTTCCCTGACCTAGTGAACCCCCTGTGCCCTGTCCTGTTGAACCCCCTGTGCCTGACCTGGTGGCATTCCCCTGTGCTCTGACCTGGTGACACCCCTATGTTCTGACCTGCTGACACCCCTGTGCCCTGACCTGGTGACTCCCCTGATCCCTGACTGGCGACTCCCCTGAGCCCTGACCTGGAGACACCCCTGCGCACTGACCTGGTCACTCCCCTGTGCCCTGACCTGGTGACTCCTCTGTGCCCTGACCTGGTGAACCCCCTATACTCTGCCCTGGTGACACCACTGTGCCTTGACCTGCGTGAACCCCCTGTGCTCTGCCCTGGTGACGCCCTGTGCCCTGACCTGGTGACTCCCCCTGTGCCCTGACCTGGTGACCTGGAAACCCCCTGTGCTCTGCCCTGGTGACCCCCCCTGTGCCCTGACCTGGTGCCCCCCTGTGCCCTGACCTGGTGACTCCCCGTGCCCTGGCCTGTGACACCCCTGTGCCCTGACCTGGTGAACCCCCTACGTTCTGACCCAGTACCTCCCTCCCCTGTGCTGCCTGGTGACCCCCTGTGCTCTGCCCTGGGGACCCCTGTGCCCTGACCTAGTGACCTGTGCCTTGACCCCCCCTGTGCCCTGCCCTGTTCACCCCCCTGTGCTCTGCACTAGTGACACCCCTGTGCCCTGACCTGGTGAAACTCCTGTGCTCTAACCTGGTGACCCCCGTGTTCTGACCTGGAAACCCCCCTGTGCTCTGCCCTTTTGATACCCCTGTGCCCCTGACCTGGTGACTCCCCTGGCCTGTGACACCCCTATGCCCTGACCTGGTGAACCCCCTACGTTCTGACCCAGTACCTCCCTCCCCTGTGCCTGCCCTGGTGACCCCCTGTGCCCTGACCCGGTGACCCCCTGTGCCCTGACCCGGTGACCCCTGTGCCCTGACCTAGTGACCACCTGTGCCCTGCCCTGTTGACCCCCTGTGCTCTGCACTAGTGACACCCCTGTGCCCTGACCTGGTGACCCCCTGTGCTTTGTCTTGATGACACCCCTGTGCCCTTATCTGGTGGACCCCCTCTGTTCTGACCCCTGTGAACCCCCTGTGCTCTACCCTGGTGACATCCCATGTGTGCTCTGTCCTGGTGACACCCCTGTACCTTGACCTGGTGACTCCCCTGGGCCCTGACCTGATGAGCAACCTGTATAAAAATAAATTTTTTAAAAAAAATTGTCCATTTTGGTTTTAGTTTTTGGCCAAATGCATCCTGAATTTTCGGATTTAGTCCAAGAATTTTAATTTTGGTGCAAGACTAGTGTACAACCTTTTAACCTTCCTGGGCCACATTGGAAGAAGAGGAATTGTCTTGGGCTGCACATAAAATACTAACAATAAAGCTGGGTACACACAATCTGAATATCGTCAGGTTCAGCAGAAATCGGCCGACATTAGGTCAGTGTGTACAGTTCCCTTTTCGACAGAAGCTGGTCTCACAAGCTGGTCTCATACTGGAATACCAGCATCCAAACAGCAGCCGATCAGTGCTGGCAGCCAATGGCCAGTTCCCCTGTCAAAACACAATAGCACAGCAGCAGACTATGCCACACTAACATCATTGTATTAGTACAGTGATCTGTCAGTAAAGATAAGTAGTGTATTATTTTATTCTATAATCTGTCCCATTTACAATGACTCTAAAATGACGCCACTGTTACAAAGCAAGTTAATATGTATGAAATGCAGCTTATTAATATTCTGTATTCTCTATTTGAGGCAGCAGGTGGAGTTTTAGATTTCTTTTTAACATTTACAGGCTCACAATGAAAGAAACCTGTTGTTTACAAAACTCAGTGAGTCAGTGCAGTGACGTATTCCAGTGAAACCTATTTTATGAAATGGCTCATTTCAATGCATCAAATAAATTGTGCCTCAAAAGCAAGGTTCAACTACTGTGCTGTTTATTTTGCTAACCAATAATGCTGTGGGATTTTTTGCTGTGTAATAAATGTTTCCGTAAAAAAAAGATAGCACATGCAGTAGAGAGTAAAACAACAAAAAAAAACTGCTGGAGGCAATGAGGGACCAAATTTGCATACAAACTCTTGGCACTCAACGATATTAAACCTTTCAACTCTTTACGCTAACTTTGGCAGATTCTGGATACTGAGATTTTTTCTTACACCCAAATTCGCCATCATATTCATTCTCTTCTCAAACATCAATTGGATTGACCTAAATGGCTGACCCCATTCGGAAATAGGTGTCGTGAAGATCAATTATTGAAAGAACTTTTGTCTGACTTTTATAGCTCCCTCACAGACAGCCTGGGGCCTTGGACCCTTTTTACGTTATGAAGTGGGAAGCAGACCTAGGCAAGTCCTTGGATGACCCCTGCTGGAACTAAATCTGGCTTGATTCTTCCAGGTCCTTTTAGGACATTTTTGCCCAGCAGAAAGCCATGAGAGACATGAGAAGCTAACTTCTATCCTCACAGATATCCACACTAATTTCCTGAAGATTTGGAACCTGTGGATTGCTTATAAGGATCAGTTGCTTCTGCATCGGCTCTCAGGACCTATACAAGACAACATTTCTTAGTGATATGCCTGACCCAAATTCACGTCTAGTGAGTTGCTTTTGTTTACCTTGCCTATTAAACTAACTTTTAATGCTGCACTTAGTCTGGTGCCCCTTTCTTTTTTTTCCATTGTAGACTATAGGCTGCTGCTCTGCTTTTTCCCCTCCCCTTTTCTGACATCCTAATTTCTTTGTGAATGTTTCTGCTCTCTCTGTTTCTCAATTTCAACTCTTAACTCAGGTGGAAGTCTATTGAATTATATGCTTTTCTACTGGGAAGCCTTTTATACTATGCCAAGGCTGGATTTGTGCACTTATATGTACTGATTTTAGATGGATCTGCTACTGTGTATCAGCCACTGTTATGTTTTCCTTTTTTCCCAGTACAATTGTATATATGCAAACAGATTTGTACACATTGTATTAAACTTTAAAACCCAATAAAACTTTTTGTAGAGATAAACAAAAATAACTAAAATAAAACTGTACATGTAAAGACACAGTCAGCTTTTCATCAGATTTGGAGATGCAGGTGAAACTCAAAAAATTAGAATATCGTGCAAAAGTTAATTAATTTTAGTAATGCAACTTAAAAGGTCAAACTAATATATGAGATAGATTCATTACATGCAAAGCAAGATAGTTTAAGCCGTGATTTGTCATAATTGTGATGATTATGGCTTACAGCTCATGAAAACCCCAAATCCACAATCTCAGAAAATTTGAATATTGTGAAAAGGTGCAATATTCTAGGCTCAAAGTGTTCAACTCTAATCAGCTAATTAAGCCATAACACCTGCAAAGGGTTCCTGAGCCTTTAAATGGTCTCTCAGTCTGGTTCAGTAGGAATCACAATCACAGGAAAGACTGCTGACCTGACAGTTGTGCAGAAAACCATCATTGACACCCTCCATAAGGAGGGAAAGCCTCAAAAGGTAATTGCAAAAGAATTTGGATGTTCCCAAAGTGCTGTATCAAAGCACACTAATAGAAAGTTATGTGTAATGGAAAAGTGTGGAAGAAAAAGGTGCACAAGCAGCAGGGATGACCGCAGCCTGGAGAGGATTGTCAGGAAAAGGCCATTCAAAAGTGTTGGGGGCTTTCACAAGGAGTGGACTGAGGCTGGAGTCAGTGCATCAAGAGCCACTACACACAGACGGATCCTGGACATGGGCTTCAAATGTCGTATTCCTCTTCTCAAGCCGCTCCTGAACAACAAACAACGTCAGAAGCGTCTTACCTGGGCTAAAGAAAAACAGACTTGGTCTGTTGCTCAGTGGTCCAAAGTCCTCTTTTCTGATCAGAGCAACTTTTGCATCTCATTTGGAAACCAAGGACTCAGAGTATGGAGGAAGCACACTGCAAGATGCTTGAAGTCCAGTGGGAAGTTTCCACAGTCTGTGTTGATTTGGGGAGCCAT